ATAAATAAATAAATGCATATGTGGTCTTATTTAGAAAAAAATAAAATAATATTTAATATTTCTACAGAATGTTAGTTGTTCAGATCACGGTAGTCTATTAGGAAAAACACTTTTAATACAGGTAAGAAATGGTGACTAGAAATGAATAAGCTTATCCTTAATAGTAATGATTGCATTATGAATTGTGTTAATTTTTCAGCCAAAGAAGTTCCCCAATATTTAAATGTCACCAATTTAAAGAAAAATGTGATTTATTTTTCCGGTATTTTGCTTTGTAATTTACTTTTCCAGTGTTTAATAAAGGAATTGCATTATTTTTTTTTATATTGCAACAATTTATATTCCTCAGGAAAAATAGACAATAATCAATGGCAAACAATGGCATGTTGTATTGTCCTGCTTCTTTCCAGGGCATTAAGGTCTTTTGTATGCATAGCTGTTATATAATTCTGTTTCTTTGAAGGTGGTAACATTCTTTATTGTTTGTAGAATTTGCGGTAATTTGATTGCTTGGAGAGTATATAGCTATACCTGCTTTTATTTTTGCATTTAGTCTTCCTTTTATTGTCTATTTGTAGAATTCTGCTCATTGACTGCAATAAAGTTTTGTGTGCTTGTATAAATAGAACAAAATTCTAAATAGCCCTCTGGTTGGGAATGCAGGAGGTAGAATACATTGAAATGGGAAAGAGAGGTAAGTGTTTCAGACCATGATATCACTGGCAAAGAATGAATATCCTTCCTGCTTTTAACATAAAACTTTTTGCAACCATAAGAGCAGAAAATGTTTGTTTCTTTTCTTGCCTTAGTGGTTTCTACACCACTGTTAAGTAGTTGAAAAGAATATGAACATCTAATAAAAAATTCAGTTTTCCAAAATAGAATATACAAGATAATTCCTAGCCTGAAGGGATCCACCTTATGTTGTTAAAGGGACTACAGAACAAGCTACAGTAGAGCTCAACTGCTTCTTAATACTTACTGTGTATCATCTGATACTTCCTTTCCAGGTGGTTGTGGGTGTTGCTCAGCAGTAAGACGGTAACACTAAAATGAAAGAAGAACCAGTAGTGGTTGCTTTTCAAGTTATATCACCTCTGACTTAAGCAACTAGAAGCACGTCCTTACTTACATAATGACCCTACGTTCTGAAACTGGCTGTCCCTTCAGCCAGAAATTTGGCCTTGGAAAGAAGGCAATACAGGCAGTCAGTCACTAGGTGACTGTTCCCCAATTTGAAGCCCTCCAGATTATGAACTTCAACACCCATTATTCCAATGCAGGATGACTAATGGTTGTATAGCCAAAGATGATGGGAGATGAAATTCAACACTCTGGTAGTACCATGTTACAAAAGCTGTGCTAAATATTGATTTTGAATTAATTGTGTGGCAGCCATTTTTGACACCAGAGAAGAATGGCAGGCATGCTAAAGGCATGCTAGATTTATCTCTGCTTAGTTGGTCCTCCTCCTCCTCCTGCCTTTGAATCAGTGTTGGCTCCTAGCAACTGAGAGAGTGACTGGCCCAAGGTCACCCAGCTGGCTTCATGCCTAAGGTGGGACTAGAACTCATGGTTTATCAGTTTCTAGCCTGATGCCTTAACCACTACACCAGACTGGCTCTTGTTGCTTCTTAGAAACTAATTATTTGTATTAGGTGGAATGAGAAGAGGTGAAGGGAATGGAAAGAGAATAGCAGCAAAGCAACAGATTGATAAAACAACATGTCTCCCATCCCTTCCAGTTTCCATTGCCTTTTGAATGAAGCCTATAAGGAGTCTCAGCCTTCTCACAATTTGGTTCAATGTGACTTCTTCTCATCTGAACGTAACTGTAGGTGGACCTTTAAATGAAGCAAGCCACACTAATACTTGGGAATGGGGACATGCCAGAAACACTGTTAAGATTTTACACCACCAGTATTTAGAAGGTCCATATAAGTTTTTCCAGTCTCAAACTTCACTTCTGTTAACTGCGGGAAGACTTGCTGCTGGTGCCACATGGCATGTTGCTTTTTTAAGACCAAGGTATGCCCTCTCCCACAGGTATCAGTTAGGAGTGACCTACAGACAATGTTCGTAATCAGATAAGAATCCCGAAAAAATCTGTACTTTTTTCCCTAAAAAATAAAACTCTTCTGGTTGCCAAAAATCAGCTAATGGTTGAATAAGAAAGTAAGAACCAACTAACCACACTTTAGCTTTCCTTATCAGATTGCATTAGTTCAAGAGCTCCTTCCCAAATCCAGGAGGAACCATTCACAAAAGAGGCCCCTGCTGGATGAAAAGAAGAGACAGTGTTCATTGGTTCCTCCCCCAGATAACCAGCTCAACAGCCCTGGCTCTGTTCTGAAGGCTGTTCCAGCACTGAGGGAGGACTAACGGTCAGGAGACATAACCTATCAGCATAGTTCCATCTAAAGAACTTTGGATCAAGCTAGTGTGTCTGCATGTTTTCTTTCCTTGTTTGATGTTCTTTATAAAAATAATTATGCTAGAGAAGCCTTCACCAACCTGGAGCTTATTTAGGGTCTCAAGTCCCATAATTCCCATCAAGCATGGCTCATGCTGCCGGGGTTTATGGGAGCTGATATCTAATATGTTTGGAAAATTATGAGAGTTGAGGTCTAACATATTCCTCTTTGCGGTTCTAGAGGATGAGATATAAAAGTTCATGCTGGACAACTGGAACAAAGGAGCCAGAATGATGTGTGTTTTCCTTATGAGTGTACAGAGGTCTGGGTGTTTAGAGTCCTACAGCATGATATTTTGAAGCCTGCTCATAATAAGAACTGATATTGCTAATTCACCAGAAGAGTGTTAGGTTGAAGTTTCACAAAATATACATCACAAATGGCAACAAGACGATATGAATTGTATAGTAAAATATATTTTAAAATGTAACCATACAAACAAGAGAAAATAGATGCACCTATGCAGTAGAACAAGCTTGCCCTTTTTAATGCAAAGACTACAATGTCAGTGGCTGACTGTAATCCATCCTAATGTATTCCATACCACAAAAAGAATAAAGTAGAGATAGCAAATTTGTCATTTCAACACTTGGACTGGAGAGGTCAGGCAAACAAGAGAAATTAGAGGAAAAAAAGGGGTCTTCTTATGCTTAGTCAGAAATGCTAAACTCCAAATTGAGATTAACAGAACACAATTTGTGCATTCACATAATATCCAATGTCAAATAAACAGTTTTATGACTTAATGGCTGGTTCACCCAACATACCAAGAAAATAAATAAACAGAACCCATTTTCACTTACATAACATATGAACTCAGCTGTTTCATCTGTGTAACTTTTTCAGAGTCCTTCAATTAGAATGTGCCAATTTAAAATCCCCTGTGTCCTACATGCTTGTCTATTGTAAACTTAGTTCCTTGCCCAATTACATGTACGTAATAACTGTACTACCTGTACCTCAGTTTCCAGGGCTCTGAGGACAGATATTTTCAGAAATCACATCCAGCATAATTCATTACATATGGTAAATAGAATAAAATAGTATAGAGTAGAATAGAATAGAATCAAAGAAAACAAAACACTTGGGGTATTACTATCCCACTGATTTGTTTTCATGTATGACTGATTTTTACACTGTATTGTATCTAGGAAATGCAAGGAAGCAGACAGGCTCCAAATTAAACCAGATGGACTCCACGCTATTCTTCCTTCTGCAATTAGAACTGACGACTAACTACCTCAGCAATTCTTACCACCATCCAAGAATGTAGTCCAGTATTGATAGCAACCTTATAAGTGAAAAGATGAACAATGCAGAACAGTGGCTGTTGGAAGTCCAAGCAGCAAATGATCCTTCACCTCCCAATTCAGGCTGATCGTCCACTCTGCTTAATATAAACTGTAAGTGGGTGCCTAGCTTGGATCGGCGCCCCTATAGAATAGGGTAGGTCTTTTGAAACGATCAGGGGAATCAATACTTGTAATTCAAGACAGTAGATAAGCCCAAGAACTATTTCAGTCCTTTGACTTTCTCGACAAACCCTCGATCAGAGGCTCACTGACGTGAATGCCCCCCAAACCCAGGAGAGGGACAAAAATACGCTGGAATCCGTCGCAGCGGGAGGAAAAGAGGCTCAAATAAGCATATGACTAATCAGACTGAACAGCATGGTTCCGAAATGAGAGAAAAATATGCTGAACCGAGCACTCCCCCGCATCTTGTAGGAGATCTGCAGCGCTAATTCTCCCTTTTGGGTTTAATCATTCCTGGCTTTTACACACACACTGAATTCGTGCGCAGGTAGGAAAACTTTTTTTTTTTCTCAAAAAGCAGCCCTTGAATATTTTTCTTCAAACATGTAATTGGTTGTCTCAAAACACACTTTGCAACGTTGATTGCAACTCTGCCTCTGCCAGCGCATGGCAAACATAACTATAAATTGCCGTCAAAGTCCTCGAACACTGGAGTGACCTTCTTTGCATGGCGACGTATATTTAACTACCTAACGTTTCCCTCACTCTCAGAGCGTTAATGAATTAGCTCCGGCGAGGAGGAAGAATCCCAGCTCGAAGGTTCCGCTTAGCTGACGTGGCAAAGGAAGCCTGTGATAGCGACTGTGCTAACGAGTCAATACAGCAGCCGAGCTTGCTGCTAATATGGGATGCAGAAGCATCTGCAAGCGTTTTGGTTTAGTGGTAGGCCTTGTAAGTAATCTCTGTAAAAGTATCAGTTGAGAAAAATTGGGTAGATTTAGAAGGTAGAGCAAGGGGAAGGAGTAGTTTCCAAGTGAGGAAAGAGAAACGTGTATAGAATGAACTTTGTCTCTAAGAAAACTTCATAATTTCTTTGGGGGGGAGGGGAGACGAAGGAAAATAATTATTTCTTTCTTCTAATGTTTGTTTACAATCATGTGTGGAGAAAGTTTTATTCCAGCTAGGAATTAGCCCTGGGTGAGTTTATGTTCAATTTATCTTGAATTAAACTGCATGATGACCTGCCTCCCGTTAGATGTTGCTGTGATCAAAAATGCAGCTAAAGATAATGTGAACTTAAGCAAGATGGCACATTCAATTCTGAGGTGTGTCCAGGTTTGAAATACTTGTTCCAGTGGCTACACTATGTGATAGAAGAATTTCCAGTATTACCCAAGGCATGAAAATGTGAATTAGAATTTCTTTTTTCTACACCTGCATAATCTAGTAACCGTGTATTTCAGAGTCAGTGCCATGTGAAATCATCAAGCATTTTGGCTTGGAAACAAAGGATTTGTTCTCAGCGCCCCATAGTGTGTCCTCTGTCTCTGATGTAATCAGCTGGGGCTGAGAGAGTGAGCCAAGGACCTCCTGGATTCCATCTCTCTTCCCCCATTGACTCCATGCAGGCAAGTTGCTGTCTTCTCCAGCCAGTCCTTGTCCTTCCTATCCTCTTCTGCTTAACCTGCCGCTTGAGGACAACTTTCCCAGGCAAGGATTTCACCTGGCCAGCACTCACTTGGTTTTAAATTTAGGATAGCTTTTGGAACATGGGCACGTTATGGCTCTTGAAGCAACTTGCTCCAAGCCACTCATTTTTCATTATAAAACCCTAAGAATATTTGGCTCTCATGTAGAAAGGGTTACTGGAAGATGTGTTGGGGAGGGGAGGGGGGGGGAAACTGTGATGCAACGGCCTTGGCTGAACAGCTTTCCATGTACTGTATTTTAAATGAATTTTTGCCTCTATTTTAAGTGATGCAAAATGCACTAAATACTTTGTTTGTTTGGAAGGATCCAATATACTGTTTACAAAGACTTTGCTCTGCTCAGTCAGGGTTATTGCATTGTCCAGGACTTTGACACCAGGAAAAAACAGAGAGTACTCATCTAGAGTGGGTAGAAACTTGGTCAGGTATCCACTCACGTGGCAAATGGACTTTGACAGCTGTCTTGGAGACAGACCAGTACCGCTGAGGCCAAGCTGAGAGAGCTGGAGCTGGTGGTCTCATTTCTAACAAAGGTGTGTGTGTTTGTATGTAGGAGTGGTTGCGGGTGCATGCACAGGAGGTAGCATTGCTCACTCACGTTGTCCTGGAGTTATCCTGTAGCATCTTACATTTTAAGACTGAAAACTCTTTTTTCTGCTCTTCTGGTGTGTGAATGAAATAGGTTACTTTACAAATGTTAAAGTTGCACAGTAGACGGGTTTGATAGAGATGGATGCAATCAATAAAATGTGTTACTGTCAGATGTTTGTATCACTCCCTGCTGGATTGGCAAAATGTATGACTTGTAATGACTGATGTATAGATAGAGCTTGGGCTGTATATCTGTATGAGCCTTTTAAAAAATGGACTAAGAGGCCAGAAAGATCTCAGGTTCATCCATCCTTTAGGGAATTGTTACAGACATCTTTTCAATATGGTGATATAACAGAAAAGAGATTAAATAGTGAGTCAGGAAATAATCAGTGATATCTCATGTCATCATGAATATATTACTCAATAATGAATGTATTTATTAAGCTACTGTTTTCTGGTAAACCAAGCAGGATATGTTGTACAATTTTGAAATAATGTATGTGGAGTGTTATGATTATAAATTTTAGATTATGTGGAGTATTATGATTATAAATCTTCATTGTCATTTGTCATTAAAAGTTACCAATGTTAGTGTGAAAACTAACTGCAGTATTAAAAACTTGTAAGAATTCTGTGCCTAAGGCATAAACTTGTTTCTTAACAGTAGCTTCATATACTACACAGAGGTGAATAAATACTAACAATCTCATATCTTTTCCAAAGGAAAAAGAAAATATTTTTTTAAAGAAACCCCTTAATTTATAAAGAAGTTATAGATAACTGTGGGACATAGCAAGAATATTCTTCCATGTAGTCTTCTGTAGACCTATAACCATGAGGGCTAGAAACCCTGAGAGTTTGGCTATCTTGTTTGGAAGAATGCTCTTTTTCATTGAACCTACTGTCCTTTGATTATTTTTATGTTTTTAGGAAACTGAAGAAATTTAGTTACTGAAAAAAATCTAAATAGAAACAGTTCTGACAAAGAACCCCAAATGGACTCATGGATGCCACCACGACAGGCCCAGGGGCAAGGGAAGCATGCGGCCTGGTTTGAAGGATATAGAAGGGGCCCATGGAGGGAAGTTTACCATGGCCCTCCACCTCCCCATTTTAGGCACACTGACTACCATCCTGAATTCCAAGTAGGACCTCAGCCTTGGCTAGATATTCAGACAGAACATCACCATCCCATCCATCATTCAAGGTTCCAGAACTCTGTGAGACCAAACTCCAGGGCAGAGTATTACAAAAGCAGCTATCCTGACTGGTCTTACACAAGGTAAGACTCGCATGAAAAAATAAGAAGTAAAATGTTGGGAAATGATGCAGACAGACAAGCAACACAAGGAGGTCCAGTTTGTGATTTTGGCTGGTTCTGAATCATAGTCTGAAGAAACCAAAATTCCCTGATTTCAGAAATTATGGGAAACTGTCTTATTGCCATCGGGGTGGTTTTGAATCTTTTTCTCTCGTGTGTCTATAGACTGCAGAGCCCTGCATGGGCTCCCCATTAGGACCAAGTGCCACCATAATGATCTTAATTTTGGCCTTTTGGACCCTGCAGTGTGGTTGAGCAGGTACATCCCCACAACATCTGTTTGCTCAGCCTCCTTGGCACGTTTGGCTTTTCCGGGTCCTCTGGCAGCAAATTCAAGGTTGAGGCCTTCCAGGACCTGGTCCCACAGCTTCGGAATTGGCAACAACAACTAAGCTTTATTTTGGTCATAGACCAGCATGAGTTTTGTTTAATCGGTAGGAATGGGGATGTTCCTCTGACTGTGGAGTTGTGGCTTTTGGGCTGATCATGGTATCATGCTTCCCTGGCTTGTATATTGTATATTGCTTAATTATATTTGATTTAATTATTTATATATTGTTAGCAGGTTTTATATGGTCTAGCTTACCTATTCTTCGTATTGGAAATAACTGTTTAGCATTCTACTATTTTTTTTTAGATTTGCCTGTGTTTGTACAGTATTATGTACAGTATTTCTGTTCTGCCCTTATTTTAAGCATAATGATAATAATAATAAACTAGTAGTGAACATTTATGATCAACTCTCCTAAACACAAACAAGAAGAAAAAGGAACGGGTTCCCAAAGTTCAAACTTATTCATTCATATACAATTGCAAAATTGTGAAACAATCAGGACCGAGTTGTTCACTTAATGGAAACTATAATTTCCTGCTGTGTTTTAACCAGGCCTTTGTATCTCCTAAATTAGAATGCAAAAGCTTTGTGGTCATGCTGATTCTCTACATTCCACATCTTCCAGTTTGTCCCATCCTTTTGTCAGTGTTGTCACCACTTATTCTGCTGAATTATGGATTACTAAATTCAGCACCTGCTGAGTCAGTGGGCCCTAACCAGTTGGTTTTCAATGTAATCAGTGGTCTTCCTTCAAATTTTTAAATGATTAAATAATAGACTTAGGAGAGAGGGTTACATTAATGACCAAATGATGATGATATATTATAATAATAGATAATGATCTATTATTATTATGCATAATAATTATGCAGTGACCCAGCTCTCTGAAAAAGGCTCTCATGTTGGGAAAGGTAGAAGGAAAGAGAAGAAGAGGATGACCAACAGCAAGGTGGAGGGACTTAGTTACAGTGGTTACTGGTGCACCATTGGAAGACCCGAAGAACCAGGTTGGGGACAAATCATCATGAAGAAAATCTATCTGTGTGGTCACTAGGGGTCAAAAATCACTTGATGGCACAGAATCAATAAATAATAATAGATAATAATAATAATTATCTATTATTATCTTATGCAGTAATTTCTGGATCTGTTTTTGATGAACTATTTCCAGCTATTTTATTCTCTTCAACCACAAAAAATGTAGACTGTCTACCAAAGCAGATTTTTCTGCCTATTATTTGGCTCATTGCCTTTTGGGTTACCCTTTAGGCAGGGATACGAAGAGGTGCACCGTGGGTTTGTGGAGGACCATGGAGCATACCAAAGATTCGCCCAAACGCATCCGAGCGAAAGAGGTACTGCATTCCCCATAGGATAAATGGCTGAGAACAATATGTAGCTAGAATTCCTTTCTCCAGTCTGGTGCCTTCCAGTTCCATTGGGCTAAAACAATTTACAGTTTCCAACCAGCACAGGCAAAGACCAATCTGTCTGGAAATAATGGATGTTGGGGAATGCTGAAATAAAGTAATCTTGCTAATGTAGGGTGTGCTTGTATTTGTGTGTGTTTATAGGAAGTCATTTGTAAGCAATTCTTTATTCTTTATGTAACCTTCATATCTTAGTATAGTAAGGGACTAAAGTTCAGGATGGTTAGAGTTTGAATGTCTTCCCCCCAAAAAAAGATAAATGCAGCAGGCCTGTTAAACCACAACATTGAAATATTTGTAACTTACTATACTAACATTTAAGAATTGCAAAAGGATTTTGAAATTCCCTACTTTTTGTGTCAGATTTTGAGACTGAGGATGGCAGCCAGTGTAGTATTTTGGTTAAGGTGTTGGACCAGGACTAGAGAGACCCAGGTTCAAGTCCACCCTTGGCCATGAAATTCACTTGGGAACTTTGAGCCAGTCACTCAGCCCAACCTAGCTTATAGAGAAGTCCTTGTAGAGAAAATTGGGTAGAGAGTGCTAAATATATGCTGCCTGCAGGTTCTGGAAAAACTGGGAGATATAAATGTAACACATAAAAATATTTCAGTATCCAATCTGGGTCTCAGTCTCAAAATCTTCTTCCTGGGATCTAGTCCTAAATCAAAAATGCTATTTCAGTTCTGTGCCCCCGTTTGTAGGCTGTAAATGTAAAGACTGGGGAAAGGATGGGGGAGGGTTGCAGGAAAACAGTGTGGAGCTAAGAAACAATTAAGAGAAATGAAAGAGAGTTGAGTCACACCAACATTCCAAATATTAGCTGTGGGTTATGGGAGTCCTACTTGTTCTTGAAGGGAAGCTATCGTTGTAGCATCTTCCTTCTATTAGCAAATAACCACTGCAGGTTATGTCAGTCTTTCTCTCTCTCTTCCTCCCCCTTTAACTCAGCCTTAGTCCAGATTCCTGTGTATTGTTCCAACCTTCCTCTTCTTTCTCCAGTTCCTCCTCTTCCTCTCAAAGCATTTCATCTACAAAAAGCATAGCTGCTATTTTCCTCATCAATTTCTATTTCCCCTTGAGACTGTAAAAAACCACAGGCAATTCTACTTACTCCTAACCTCATTTAAAGAGAACGATGGGTCAAACTAATATAATATATATATTCTAATGGGCATGTTTAAAAAATTAGGTGTGCTATAGCTAGGTTGCAAATATCTGGACAACCTCTAGATGGAAGTAGTGAGATGCTGAAAACCTGCCATCTTATGGTCTTTAAGTTTTTTGCAGCCCAAACATGATAGTTCTAAAAAATGAAAGCTGCCACAGGGGGTTAGTTATGATTGGGACTGTGAAAATACAGAGAAGTCTTTCCATAGCCTTTCTGCTTATATCATAATTTGACTTAAATAAGAAAACACTCCTGCAGTGGTTATTTGCTGATAGAAGGAAGATGCTACAACGATAGCTTCCCTTCAAGAACAAGTAGGACTCCCATAACCCACAGCTAATATTTGGAATGTTGGTGTTACTCAACTCTTTCATTTCTCTTAATTGTTTCTTAGCTCCACACTGTTTTCCTGCAACCCTCCCCCATCCTTTCCCCCAGCCAAGGTAAAAATTCAGCATTTTCTAACCTGTTCCCCTACTGCAAGGCATTGTTGAATTGTGCAGTAGACTGTCTGAGGAGAATGGCATCCCATTCCTCTATGCCAAATTCTGACTAGCCTTCCATTCTTAATGCATGCAAGAAGATCTATTTGTTTAAATTTGCTTTATACAGATCCAAGATGGAGAGATAACTGGAGTGAAAGTGCAAATTCCTGGAACCAGAATTACCACAGAGATTATCAGCCTAAGGGCGGCACAGACTCTTTGGGATATTATGATGCTGTACTAACTCAGTAAGTAAAATTCTTGAACAGAAAATGTCTAAGACTGTCCATATCCAGTTTCTGTTTTCAGTAGTGTTGGGTCATGACTGAACCCAACCTGGTAGCCCCCATATTTACTTACAAAATCTCTGGCCAGCATGATTACTGGTTGGCCAGGCTGAGGATAGAGTTGTAGGTGTTACTCTAATTTTTGCCTTGTCTGTTCAGTGTTTGTGTATATGCGTGCCCTCTGGAGACTTATTTCCCCACTGGAGATGTTTTGGGCTTTTCCAAGTGAGATGTGTGAGAAGATGGATTCTCTTTCAGGTTTTCATGCATAGAACATCTATGCATTATCTTAGGGTTCTAAGATAATTATATCGAGAATGTCAGAAATGTTCAGATATGGCATTGAACATATCCTGAGAGCATATCAGTGCAGTGCATGTATCTCCTGCACGGTAGGATGTGGCAAGAGTATGCTGGCTTGCAAGGTCATTCTAGATTAGAGATCCTTGCTTGAACCAAATAATGTGAGCGCACTAGGGGCAAAACTGAGCTTTGGCTAGAATGGCGATTTGTGAGTATCTGCTTAGATAAATGTTTGTTTGTTTTGAGTACTTAGCTTAGTCTGTTCATGCATATATAAAAAATGAATTGAAAAGCATGATTGATTTGATTGGTCAAATCTTATGGTTAAAGACTGAGAGAATCACACAAGGATTATAAGGGATTCTGAATGTGGAACAAATTATTTTTACATAGTATCAAGAATGGATTTTAGGGAATAAAGGACACATAAAGAAAGGAAGTAATTGGAAAAAATGAAAGTAGAAGGACTGCAAGAAAAAATGTGGGTCCTGCCTGAAAAAGTTTTAGAAGATAAATGAATCTCCCAACAGAATGAATGAGAAGTGTATAAAAGGAAAGACGACATGGAAGCTGCTTGGAATGTAACAGAGTAGTAGAGAAGATTGTGGAGTTATACTAATAGGAAATAAAAAAATGATGCAGAAGTAAAAGAAGCTGTGGATTAGGAAAATGCACACAAACACAAGACAGCTGCAAAAATGAGAATGAGAGAAAGATATTGTATGAAGTGCATATGGAAAAAAGACAGTTGTAAAGTATGTGTTCAACAACAGCAAGGTATGGTTAAGATTTAAAAAGGAAGATAAAACAGAGTGAATTCTTTTTGAAGTGGAAAAAAGAGCTGAACTAGAAGCCTCCAATAGAGTGAATGGAATTAAGAATTAAAATATAAAATGATGTGGGATAAATCTGAAGTGAGGTAATGCTGGAAGGAATACAGGATTGATTTGTACAGGAATTATAGGGATATATCAGTGATATCAAAACACATGCTATAAATGTCCAAGAAAAAAAAACAATGAAGTTAGAAATGGGAATGTTGCAAAACAATAAGGCTGCAGGTGTAGATGGTGTATGTAGTTTGCTTATTTTATTTATTTATTTATCGTATTTATATAGCTGCCCATCTCACATAAAGTGAAGGGCTACACAACTTCTTTAATGTGTATGTGAAGTTTATGTCTGTGCCTTATTGGAAGAATGCTGTTGTTGTTATCCTATACAAAGTGGAAGATAGCAAGAGTGATACATTTGTTAAGTTTGCCTGAGAAGATATGCCTGGGAAGGCAGAAAGGGTACAAGAGATAACAATGACCAAAATTAGAGAACTGCAGTATGATTTTATTTCAGGCAGGAGGTATGCAGTCTAGATTTTGCTCTTCAGCAGGTCATTGAGAAATATAGGGATATGAGAAAGTTTACTGTACATTTGTTGAGTTAGAGAAAGTGTATGATAAAGCGAATAGGCTGGAATTATGGAATGGTTTATGTGAATATAGAATTGAAGGTTGGTTGTTGAATGTGATACAAACAGTATGTTATGGAATTAAAGATGCCAGAGAATAAATGGAAAGTTTAACAAATGGTTCAACACTGAGCAGGGAGAGGGGCGAGACACATTGCTTTGGTTGTCTACTGTGTTTATGGATAAATGTATAAGGAATGGTTGTGGTGATCTTAGAATTACATTGGGATTGAATGTGCTTGTATTTTTGTATGCAGATTGTGTTATAGTATTGCCTAAGAATCTGACTGATTTGTACTGAATGTTAGATAGATGTATGATATTATGAAGGGTTTAAATGTTGATGCTAAGATTTTAACAGCTACATTGGTGAGAAGATTAGAAAAGGCATTGCCTGCTATAATTCATCCTGAACCAACAATTCATGGAAGAGTGTCAGGTTTCAGGTTGTATAAGACTTCTGGCTGATATAATAGCCTTATACATTTAAATGTATTAATCTGCAGTGTTAGCTTGGATATGGACAAGGCTTTTGATACAGTTCAAATCATGGTTTTGTTTCAAGTATTGCAGGAGTTTAGATTTCCTATAGAATTAATTTCTTGGATTAAAATGTATTATCATAATCCTTTTAGTTTGTAATTTAATTGAATTATTTCACCAATAATAAAAACGTAGGGTAGAACTTGTCAAAGATGTTCTTTATCTCATTAAATTTTTAATTTGGTGTTAAAACTCTTAGAATGGCCTAATAAAACTAATTCATTACATTAAAGGCATTTGTATAGTTGAATTTGAGTATAATATATTATATGAAGATGATAATTTTGAACAATCATCTAATCTAAATTAGAAGTGGCACACACACACACACACACACATATATGTTCAATATTCTATATAATAAAAATCTAATATAAAACATATTATATATGAAGATGATAATTTTGAACAATCATCTAATCTATAATAGAAGTGGCACACACACACACACACACACATATATGTTCAATATTCTATATAATAAAAATCTAATATAAAACATATTATATATGAAGATGATAATTTTGAACAATCATCTAATCTATAATAGAAGTGGCACACACACACACACACACACATATATGTTCAATATTCTATATAATAAAAATCTAATATAAAACATATTAATATAATATAATATAATTACAGTAAATCAAATATTATGTCAGTAGGTTGTTTGGAAAATGTTAAGGTGTTTTTTATATTGTTCAGAAGCTACCCCAAGGAAAATACCCAGTTTAGTGGGTAAGAATATTTCAAAATGTATCACTCAGATAAAAGAGGATATTGAAGGATGGATGAAAATACCCTTAGCTTTATTGGGAAGAAGTAGTGTTGTAAAAACAAATTTAGCATCAAACTAATATATATTCTGAGAGCAATGGTTAAGCTTAAATATTTTAAATAGATTGTTAAGTTAATGATTACTTTTATGAAGGGAGCAAATACCCAGGTTGTCATTAGCTTATTAATCTCAGTCATATATTGGAATGGAACTTTATTAGCTACATACGATTGTGGGCTACAATCGTAAGATTGAGAATTATAATTTAGTATCCTTCTGGTCCTGGGAGATCTCAGTTCTAATTACAGTAGGAATTAGATTACTTTTCCAGCATTGAAGGTAATTAGATATAGGTAATTTACTATAGGGTTTTTAAATATAGTAGACTAGGTTTATTTTTGTTAATACAATAATAATGATATAGTTATATTGATATATTGCTGTTTAGTTTATATATAATTTCATAATTAAGGTTTTTAAAGAAATGCTTTATACAGGTAGATAGATAGATAGATATGAGAACCTGTGCCATGTTGTGGTTAAGGTGCTGGACTAAGAATGGGGAGACCCAGATTCTAGTTCTCCCTTAGGCATAGAAACCAAGTGGGTGACTTTGAGTCAGTTACTTTCTTTCAGCTCTAGACTGGGAAGTAAAAAAATAATAATCTTCCAACCTGTATTGGACCAGTGTAGTAGGTTACAGTTCATAACCTTCAGTGAAGGGCCTTCATCCTTCAGTGGATTGCTTTAGGATGATGATGATGATGATGATGATGATGATGATGATGATGATGATGATG